CTCCTCATCCATCCCCTGCCAAACAGAAGGCTGCTTTGGGGCACTGAACTACAACCAAAGCGGGGGCATCATCCTTGGCTGCTACATATGCCCCTGTAACCCAAGGACCGGCAGGACCCATTCTGCCAAGGGGCTTGAGCATGTCCTACCAAACACTGTCAAAAGCCCCATCTGGACATTGGTTTTTGTGTCCCATTGAAAGTGTGGATGGAAATTTTGGGGAAAGTCTGGATTTTTAACACCTTTGAGTTTTAAAAAGCCGGGTTCTCTGTGCTTGTTTTATAGAGTGTAACAGACCTGTGCCTGTACTGTTTTGTATGCTCTTTTCCTGTGCCATCTCCCCCCTATCCCAGAAAGAATGATTTTGTAATCCATATTTTGCTGTAGTTTTGTGAAGCTGATGGGAGTCTCTACAGTAGGTTGCCCAACTGTTGGGTTCCTTAATGATCATCATCATTTGTATACTGTAACTCAGGTCAGGGTTTTGTAATTCCTGCTGTGCTGAAAAGCAGAATTGGAAGACAAACTAGATCATGCTGATCTAGGGGCAAGATAAGTCTATACAGAGAGGGGACTCTCCCTTCCTGCACTATCTAATGAGCTTCATTCAAGCTCTTTCTGTTGTCTGGCAAATTTGGGTCTGTTGTCAATACAAGACCTGGACAAGTGCCACCTTTCAGTATCCAGTATGTGTACTGGAGGGCATGACTTTCCCAGAAATGAAGCAAATTCCTCACCTAAACAGCAGAATGTTGGGTTTTGGTTTTTTTTAATAAAAACAAAAATATTGTTTTGGAGCTGGTGAAAGATCCTTCTGAAACTTCAAAGGGAATTCAGAACTAAGGTCAGGGGCTGAAATGGGAACTGACTGAAATGTGTTAAATCTGTGCTTGGGTTATGAGGTTTTATGTAATTTTTTTTTGTCTCAGCAATTAGATGCTTCTAAAAATTAGTGCCTGCCAGTTTTCCATGGAGGCACCATGCAGACTGGCGGTATATAAAAGAGATAAAATTATGAGATTACAAACTGTATCCAGATAACACAAGGCAGAATTATCGATTTTCACTGGATTTGTCGGAGAACGCAGACCTGCACCAGGCCACTGCCCTGCTTAACTTAGTGTACATCTTGGAGGGAAGAGGGCTTGTTGAAGTTAACAAGAAAAGCTCCAGTATACTATTTATATTGCAATTGTTGTCCCAGTGTACCTGGAATGGTGTTAGCAGAAGTACACCTCTAAATGGTTGTGATTGCAGTGAAACTGCTTTGTCAGCTCAGGATATGTGAACTCATATATATGTGTGTAAGTCTGTGTGTGTCTGTGTGTATATATACTCTGTGTATACACAAAGAGAGAGCAATCAGTCCTGATTCTAGACAGTGTTCTTCATGCATGTAAAATTTCTGTAGGGCAGAACAGTCTATGACATTCAAAAAGCCCTTTGGTTTTTCAGAACTGAGGTCGGTCAACAGATACACTTTTCTCTAGTATTTTCACACTGAAATATTAAATGAAAAAAGTTAAAATTTGCATTGATTCTGTCTGAGTGCTCAAGCTTATTCTAACAGTAGAAGGCTAATTTTACTAAAGATGAGTCATAATTAAGAACTACATAAATAGCAGTCTACGGACTTTTAAGGTTTTGCTGGGTGGCGGAAGGGGAGGTGAGGGCTATGGTGGAGACTTGACAAAATATTTGATACAGCTTGAGACATGAGGCACAGATTTTGTATTACCCGTAAAGTTCATGAAGGAATCCAAAATGAATCTTTCAGTTTGCTACAAAGCATCCTTAGACTTGTACTAACAACAGCCACTTTGGAATACATATTTTCTTCTAGCAAGCCACAGGGAAGGGAAGGGTAAGATTCATAGTAAAATATTTAATACACAAGCATTTTAAAAGGGACTGTATAAAATCAAAATCATGTTGTAAAACCCCACAAAACTGTTTAAAGTTAGTGCAAGTACTTCAAAGCAAATAAATTAATAATTAAGGTAACTATGAATTTTATACTGCCAGCTCACTATGCAAATGTTCTTATCTTTTATTTAAAGAAGTGCATATTTCCTTTGAATGCAACAAGTGTGTGAACTGTCAAGGAGACCTAACTCCTTAAAATGTTTTGAAGAAGCAGTAATAAGCTTGTTTTGAGCTATGGCACAGAAGACAAATGACAGATGCATCATTTCAGTCTCTCTTGTCTTTTAGTAGATCTAGTCATTTCCAACCCTAACTGATTTTTCTAACAAAGAGTTTGAAGGTATGTGAACCCTAACTCTGGAGGGGCTTTCACCTCCCTGTAATATGCAGGCTATTGTATATATACTTTTTGTTCATACATACATTATAGTGGCTACAGGAATCTCATATCTCTGATAAATTAATGGTGACTGGATGGGGATGGCAGTATGGGGATGGATACACTGAGCATAGTAACTTCAGGCTAGATCCAGTAAAGAACCGAGGCATAGCAGCACTACCTTGTGGACGCACCCACACAAGATGCTGTGTCACCATAGCGATGAGCTACGGTGACATAGCTCATTGTTACAGCGATGCAGTCTCATCACACACAAACTGTGATGCAGCTGCTGCGCCACTGTAGCAACAAGCTACGTTGCCGTAGCTCATCACTATGGTGACAGAGCATCTAAAAATAACCATGCGCTGTGCGGACTGCCCTGTATCAGTGGGTACTGTGCAGTCATTTAGTACTTGCTAAAGCTTTAGCAAGTACTATATGACTGTGTAGTACCAAATGTACAGCCAGGCGTGCCTGTAGGTATCTACCTTTTAGATACTTGGTTCCCAGAACAATCCAAAAGCTGGAGTTAAGCACTGAGGCATCCTGTACAATGGATGGGCAGTCAGGTGCCTCAAAAAGACGATCTGAAGGCTCAGCCATCTTGGCTGGCTACTAGGAAACACTAATCTTAGGAGCATCTCCTGCGGTTCCAAAGCCTGTGGGTCAGTGCCTGCCTCTCTTCTTTCATAGATTCATAGATTAAGGGTCGGAAGGGACCTAGTAGATCTTCTAGCCCGACCCCCCGCCAGGGCGGGAGAACAACAAAAAACCCCAAAAAGAGACGGGACTCAAATGAGTCCAGCCAGGTAGGCATCCAGCCTCTTCTTAAAGACCCAAAAACCCGGTGGGCCACCGGGTGGCTCAAGACATATCCAACTTGGGCTACAACTTCAAGTCCCCTCCGACTTGCAACTGTGATCACCCCTGAGCTCCAACTAGTAGTCTTTGAGAAGACTGACCATGGTTCACTGAAGGGGTTGGAAGCAGCTAAGGGATAATATAACCCAGCTGTTTCAGCCTGTCATCTGTGGCCCCCTGGAGAGCCACAGACCATGTCTAAGGTGTCTACAAAAAAATAACTAATCAATCAAAAGCATGTGAATACCTACAATCACAATTCAAAGAGGTCTGCACATGAAAAAAGGTTGAAAACCATGGGTATAGCCCACATCTTCCACTTCCTGGACAACTGCTATAACCACTCGGCTCTTCCATGTTTGAAATGGCTACAACTGCTTTTTGTGAGGGGCCTGATCCTGTGAGGATGCTAGGTATACTGTGAAGGCCTCCCAGAGGCTTCCAGTACTACTACCCTAGTTTCTGGAACTCAGTTAGGGTAAGCGGGAGCTATGTGCTCAGGGTTGCACTGTTCTGCATGTGTGGGGAAGCTGAAACATCAGACTGGAAAGTGTGTTGTGAGTTCAGCTATTTGCAGGTTTAGACAGTGGCTGAGCAGGTTTGGAGATGGCAGTTTTGGATCTCTGGGCCACTAGATCCTGTCTGAAGCCCTTTTCTTTGGATTCATTTGTTGGTACCTTTCCTAGTTAAGTTTTCTTACATACACTTTTTGCTAGAACTGGGCAATCCAACTTCTGAGCAGCCAGGGGCCTTATACCACATGGCCTGCATGTGGTGGGAGCTGCACAGGTTTCCTGTGTGCACCCCTCCTGTCATGAGAGCAGGGCCGTTTTATTCCCCCTGCATCCCTGCCACCACCACCACAATCATGCAGGTGATTCCCCCTGCTGTGCAAACCTCTCCTGTCCTGCTGCCACTAAAGTGCAGGCAATTGCCACCCCACTCTGCTGCAGGTGGTCTTGGCTCCCTTGCCCCCAACCACTGACGCAAGCGTCCCCTCCTGGTGCTCGTGTGTCCTGCTGAGCTGCCCGACCCCAGAGACACCTGGCTGTGGCTGTGCCTGCTGCTGCAGTGAGAGCAATGAAGGTAGCGGCAGCCAGGCCAGAGCCCAGGGCTGTGCACCAGTCCTTCCCCGGCTGGCAGGTGGGCTCTGTTAACCCTTGCGACTTGGCAAGTCCACAGTGCTGCCTCCACGTAGTATGAGGGCGTCTCGTGGCCGAGTGGAAGGAGCTGCTGCTCCAAGATGCGCTGGTGCCAGATGTGCCCACGTTTGCGAGATTGATCCCAAACACAGCCCCGAGACTTTTGGTCCGGTGTACTAAGGTGGGAGTCCAGGGACGGGTCTGTCTGTGGATGCGTTTGCTGGTATCTTTTCTAGTTCGTTCTCGTACGCGCTGCTCCGCCGCACCACGATGCTTCTGTGAATCCCACAGCTCACAATAGAGGCCCTGCAGAAAAGCCGTCTGGCCGCCGCAGCCGCGTTCCGGGCGCCGGGTCCGGCCGGAGCCAGCCGCACTGTCTGCAAAGCTGACAGCCCTTGCCCCGCCACCGATCACGTGACGCGAGGCCCCGCCCCCCGCCGTCCCGAATCCGGACCGACACGTCACTGCTCACCTCTCAACCAAACTCTGCACTCTTGAGACTTCTTCCCCCACTTAAATTTTCACCAATCGGAGGCCACCACAGGCACGCAAGTCCCGCCCGCGACCGGATGAGGGGCAGGCCCTGCAGCCATTGAGGGCAGGTATGGCTGTTCGCATTGCCGCGCCAGCAGAGGGGCACCGGCCTGGGCCAATGGAGTGTGCCGAGGGGCGGGGCCAGCCCGCGGCTGGGCGGGGCGGTAGCAGGGGTGAGTGCACGGAGCGGATGGCTGAGGGAGCGGGGCTGAGAGCAGCTGCCAGGTGAGGGCGGCAGGGCCCGCGGGGGCTCGGGCCCTTCTGCACTGCAACGGCGCGGGCCGGGCCGGGCCGGCTACGGGGGCTCCGCTCGGCGCTGCGGAGATCCGGTGCAGCGGGGGCCCGGGACAGCGGCG